TTTTTTTTTTTTTTTTTTTTATTTTGCTCTCTCTCTCTCTCTTTTTCCTGCCAGTGCTCCTCCTTTATGTTGTTACTTTTTATTTGTTGGATTTTCCCCTTGGCATCTGCAGGTACACAGCATATTCTCATATAACAGTGGCCCCGATTTTCTAAACAACGACATTCGTGTGAAGCCGGACCTCGATGCACTCGGTGCTTTAGGGGACACTGGCTGGTACTGCATCCGGGCCATATTGTGGGCTGCGGGCTATCAACTTCCGAAAACTGTGACAGCTTTACGGGATGCTGAGTTCAATGAAGCCGGCGTAATCCTGTCCTGTGGGGCTTCCTTGCTCTTCCATGATGGTAATCTCGCAACCTTCTATTGTTCTTTCCTAAGCAACCTAACTATGGAAATCAGCGCCCTTGGGACCCATGGGTTTTTGCGGGTCCATGATTTCGTAATACCCTTTCAAGAAATGGTGGGCCCGTTTTACGTTCATGCAAACACCAAATTTGCTGAGCTTTCGATTGGGATCGAGCCAGGCCCGACCGAGCACATTGTCGCTACAGATCTTCCCCAAGAGGCTATGATGGTGAAGGAATTTTCGAGTCTGGTGGAGAAAATAAAGGTACATGGCTGTGAGACTGATAAGATTTGGCCGACTATTAGTCGGAAAACTCAGGCAGTGGTGGATGCTGTGAAGTCATCGATTGAGAAGGGGTTCGAGCCTGTTGAGGTTACATATTAGTAGTTGCGACTGCATAAAATATACTACATATTATAAGCATTAAGGCCAGGTTTTATCGCCTTAATGACAGCCATTAGGCAGTAAAAAGAAGCTTTGCATATTAGGCATTAGCCATATGAGTCGTATCTACTGGATGGGGTTTGAGAATTTTCACATAATGTCGACTTGATCAAATGTGTCACCACGTACGTTTTCTTATTCAGATTAATCGTCGTCTTATTTGTCATAGTTAATGACAATGGTTCATGCAAGTTGTCTTAAGCACTAAAGTAGCATGCTTGAAACATTGGTGGGGAGTATTTAGTATGAAAATCCCCTCCTATATACATAGTTTAAAATGGCGACGCCTCGAGGCGAGGCGACCGAGGCGAGGGCTACATTGCCTCGCCACTGCCCGAGGCGACCCTGTTCGCGAGGCGCTCGCTTCAGGTCGCCTCGGCTCGCCTTTTCACGTGGCGAGAGGCGCCTGTGAGGCGCGCCTCAACACCTTTCAGAGATATTAAAGGTATTAAAGGTGCAGTACATTTTTTTTTTTAAAAAAAGAGAATAAAATTAAAAGACTCTTTCTTCACTTCATACTTACGAACTGAAAACTACAGTTTTAGACCGAGAATAGGAAAGCTGAAGGTGAAAAATCCCTAATGGCTTCTCCCCAAACTAGGGGTTATGTGAAAGCACTCCTTAGGCTTCTCATGTTTGAAAATTGTAGAAACCCACGGCTGACCCATCCATTTCCGTCCTCTGAACTCCGGCCACTACCTCGCCACCAAGATGGTCGGTGATGCATGTTTTTTCTTTTCTTTTCCTTCTTCCTTATCTCTGTTTTTTCCTGTTCTACATTCTTTCTTTTTCTTCTTTCTTCATTTTTTTACTTTTATTTATGTTTACTAGTATGGTCAATAGTCAAATGTGAAAGGGTGCAACGTCTTTATTTTATTTACTTTTACTTTACACTTTTTATTTACCCTCTTTAATATTTTTCTATTTTATGTTACTACACAGTGTAAATTCAACTTTTTTTTTTCCTATTGTTACTAGTATTCACATTTAAGTTTGAGATGCTTTTAGTAATTTCAACCTAATTTAATTTATATTATTTTCTTTGAGGATATTTAAGGTTATTTTTGACACTTAAACTTAAATATATGATATTACTACCTATATAAATATATTTTTTAAGCTTTGATGGCTTGTGTTGCCGAGGCCTCGCCATGGCGAATCGCATCGCCTCGTGGCGAGGCTATGGGCGAATCGCCTCGCCTCGTCATTCGTCATTTAAAACTGTGCCTATATATTAATTCAAAACTCCTATATATTAACTCAAAACGTTCTGAGTCTAAGTGACAGACACGCATGTTTCAGGATCTTATGTGTCAAAATTATATGCTTCGTTATTAGGTTTGGTTAGATTTTAATTTACATCAATCCAAAAATAATTAGGTCCGGATTATCCATATCATTTCTTATAATAACCATTGAATTGTAAATAGTATTTTTAAAGTTAATAACTTTTGTATTTTTTTATCATTTTTACATATATAATAAATCAAACTAATCATCTCTTCAAAAGTTTCGATTTAACATCCATATTGTATGTATAAAAAAATAAATTATATTTATCTTTTAATAATAAAATTATTTTTTAATATTAATTAGAAAAATCAAATTATTTATCAATTAATAAATTTATATTTCAAGTAGTTATATGATATAAGTTATAAAATTATTATAATATAACATATGTAAGTCGCACAAAGAAATAAGTGTTATTCTATAATATATAATGGTAAATATTTATGTACAAAAGTAAATAAAATTTTAAATAAATTTTTTCATTAGTTTTAAAATTTAAGAATAATTTTTATACAAGCACTCATGTAATACACGGGTGTTGTACTAGTGTGTGTTTAAACAAGAAACTAAAAGTAACAACATAAAAACAAATATTCTTTGGGGAGTAATGCAAGTGTGAGCGTCCTGGCCGGTTTGGAATAGATCGCCTCTCGTCCTCGCCGGTGGAACGCCGGAAAACCTGCAAACAACTCTCACACCGGGGGGTTCTCTGGCGAAGAGCCTCTGATGCTTAAGTAAGTATGTGTATGTTTGAGTAGAATAATGAAAATTGTGTGTTTTGGAAGAAAGCTCACCCCTCTTTATATAGGGGTGAGATACCTGACCTTAGGGCTGTCCGGACTTGGTGAGCTGGCTCCCCCAGCTGCTCGTCCGTACTCTAACACGCCGCGCGTATGTCATAGGTGGCGTTGGAAGTCGTCAGAGGTGGTTGTCGTTGTCAACCAACGCATTCTCGCCACGTGTCCTCTGCACATGGCCGGCCGGATGATTAATCCTCTGAATATTCCCCTGAAATTCAGTTAGAGGCTCTTACACGTGCCTGTGACTAGGTCGATCTCCAAAATACTGCCAATCCATAAAGTGGTTGATCTATTGAGGTCGACTCGACTGCTCGACTGCTCGACTGCTTGACTGGTCGATCTTTCAGCTACTGGTGATACGCTGTCCGTCCTAGTGTCTTCCATGTTTTATCTTCAAGCTGTTCGACCATCATCATCTTGCTCGGTTACCGCTAGATTGGTTCGATTTCCTCGCAGTACAACCCCTTCGACCTGTTCAGCAGACCGGTTTACCCTCGTGGGTATAATATCCTATATCATCTAGTCCCCTCACTCTGGTCGAGTCTAAATGACTCGATCTAAGAGTGAATTTGTGCTCGCCTTTCTTCGGGGTAATATTATATCGGATATCGACCATCTGGTGAGTTTCCCACTATTTCCTTAATTATTTCTTTTCAACCGCCATAATGCAGGTGTAAGCGTCCTAGCCCGGTTTGGAGTAGATCGAACCTCACTCTCGTCGGTAGAACATCGGAAATCTGCAAATAACTCTCACACCGGGGGTTGTGTCCGGTGAAGAGTCTCCGATGCTTAAGTCAGTATGTGTATGAATATACTGGAGTTGAATAATGGAAAAATCGTGTGTTGGGAGAAAAGGCTCACCCCCTTTATATAGGAGTGAGATACCTGACCTAAGGCTGCCCGGATTTGGTGAGCTGGCTGTCCAAGATGCCCGTCCGTACTCTAACACACCGCGCGCATGTCAGAGGTGGTGCAGGACGTTGGGAGCTGTCAGAGGTGGTTGTCGCTATCAACCACTGTGTTCTCGGTCCTTCTGCACATGGAGTGAATATTCTTCTGAAATTCCGTTAGAGGCTCTTACACGCGCCTGTTACTAGGCCGATCCATAAAGTGTTAGGTCCGCGAAGTGGTCGACCTGTTGTGGTCGACTAAACTGCTCGATCGTTTGCTCGATCGTTTACATGGTCGAATGATGGATTGGTCGAATGATGGAGGCCACCCAGCTCGAAAGCGTGAGCATTCGACCAACCTGCCCACCCCAAGGGATGTTCCAAACAAGCGACCACCCAGCCCGAAGGCCTTAGTCATGGTGGGTTTGGTCTTCACACTTGCCCATCCGCGAGGAATGTTCCAAACAGATGGCCGCCCAGCTCGAAAGCGTGAGCATTCGACCAACCTGCCCACCCCAAGGGATGTTCCAAACAAGCGACCACCCAACCCGAAGACCTTAGTCATGGTGGGTTTGGTCTTCACACTTTCCCACCCGCGAGGAATGTTCCAAACAGGTGGCCGCCCAACTCGAAAGCGTGAGAATTCGACCAACCTGCCCACCCCAATGGATGTTCAAAAAAAGCGACCACCCAGCCCGAAGGCCTTAGTCATGGTGCGTTTGGTCTTCACACTTGCCCACCCGCGAGGAATGTTCTAAACAGGAGGCCGCCCAGCTCGAAAGCGTGAGCATTCGACCAACCTGCCCACCCCAAGGAATGTTCCAAACAAGCAACTTCCAATCAAATCAATTTTAACATCTTGTCATCCAGATCATACCAACATGCGAAATGTATGAATGTGCGGAGTAAGGAGCATGTATTGTAAGAGAACAAAATTCCATTAATATCGAGCAAATTTGCGAGTTAAATCATTTCATTTCAACTTTTCCAATTTTTTCCTAGAAAAAGAAAAAAATTCACACATAATATTTTTCCAAATTAGCGATGTTCCATGACCTGGCTAGTGATCGTCCTTCAGCATCCTTGAGGGAGTACGCTCCTCCGGCATGGACTCTCTCGACAAGGTATGGTCCTTCCCAGTTTGGCTCTAGCTTTCCCACATGTTTGAGCACATCTACGCGTTTCCAGACCAAGTCGCCCACCTGTAATTTGCGAACTTTCACCTTCTTGTCATGGGCTACTCGCATCCTTTGTTTGTACGCCTCCACTCTGATCGCTGCTCTCTCGCGCAATTCCTCAATGGTATCTAAGGCCGCCATCATTAGATTTTCATTCTGCTCCGAGTCATATGTGCTCGACCTTTGCGATGATAGCTCGACCTCGACTGGCAGCAGTGCTTCCATCCCATAGATTAGACTGGAGGGGGTTTCTCCTGTTGTCGACCTCGGGGTAATGCGGTATGCCTAAAGTACTGAAGTTAGCTCGTCAACCCACGCTCCCGAGGCCTTTTCCAGCCTTGCTTTCAGCCCATTCAGTATAATTCGGTTGGTCACCTCGACTTGGCAATTGGCTTGCGGATGAGCTACGGAGGCAAAGTGTTGCTCGATCTTCATATCTTCACACCATGCTCGAATCCGCTTGCCATTGAATTGAGTTCCATTGTCGGAAACCAGTACTTTGGGAACGCCAAACCTGCAATAAATATTGTTATATAAAAATTTGATGACTTTCTCCTCCGTGATCTTCGCCAAGGGCTCGGCCTCCACCCACTTCTTGAAGTAATCCACAGCCACAATCAAGAATTTCCTCTGCCCAATTTCCTGTGGCATCGGCCCCACCAGGTCGATTCCCCACTGGGCAAATGGTGTCGTGACCCTTATCGTTATCATTGCTTCCGCCGGTTGATGAATCAACGGGCCGTGTTTTTGACATTGCAAACATTTCTTCACCATCACCT